TTCGTGGATCCCACGGACTCTCCAACACAACCCTCACCTTTGATTCTGTAATTCGTGGATCCCACGGACTCTCCAACACAACCCTCACCTTTGATTCTGTAATTCCTGGATCCCACAGACACTCCAACACAACCCTCACCTTTGATTCTGTAATTCGTGGATCCCACGGACTCTCCAACACAACCCTCACCTTTGATTCTGTAATTCGTGGTTCCCACAGACACTCCAACACAACCCTCACCTTTGATTCTGTAATTCGTGGATCCCACAGACACTCCAACACAACCCTCACCTTTGAATCTGTAATTCGTGGATCCCACGGACACTCCGGTTTTTCATCATGAGCAAAGTGGCTTGAGTGAGTGAGTGAGTGAGTGAGTGAGTGAGTGAGTGAAGGAACTGCCTTCACACATCGTACCCATGTGGGGAATCGAACAGGATCTTCGGGTAACGGGCGAACACCTTAACCACCCCTACTAGAACTCTGAACCAGGCACACCGGTGTATTTCATCATGAGCAAAGTGGCTTGAGTGAGTGAGTGAGTCAGTATTGTTTTACGTCGCTTTTAGGAATATTCCAGCAATATCGCGGCGGAGGACACCAGAAATGGGCTTCACACAATGCACATATTTCGGGAATCGAACCGGGGTCTTCGGCGTGACGAGCGAACGTTTTAATCACAAGACTACCAGGTGGTTGGAAATAGCCATTCGAAATTATGTAACTTTTTATGTAAGTGCCGTATAATGAGATTATACTTACTTTTCGGAATTGCATATCTACGTGCATCATCTGAGACTCGGCCCACTGACACTGGACTCCCGTCTGTAACACCGAGGTGGCCGTACATGGTACAGTGGGAGGTGGTACGCTTGTACTCCAGGGCGACACATCCGGGAAGAACACCGCATTCTACATTGCATTTCAAGAGAGATACAGCAGTAACTTCGTCTAAAACCGTGACTTTATAATCAAAACGTTTGTCAATTTTCTTAAACCTTCTTCCAAGTACTGTTGCTTCTTGTGGTGAGGCCCCCAGTAGTATGAACACAGGCACAGCCGCTGAGAACATGGTGCACCTCGTGTGTTTCCGTTGAGGCAGTAACAGACTCACTGACTGTCACGTTGTTCAATATTAATGACGCACGAAACCTACAGTACTGCTCAAAACTAATCTTCCCGCGATCATACATATACACAAACAAATGCATACAGATACACAGACGCGCACGTTTGTTTCGCAGAGTGACATTTTTGTTACTTGACCAGCGTGTAATTCGCTTCCCAAAGCGGAATATTTTTTGTTAAAGTGATTTTGTATATAATCATATCGAAATGAATGATAAGAATTTTCGTGACCTTAAATATTTTTTTATACTTTTGTTTACATTTTTTAAGATTTTGCAAACACGAAACTACTTTTTAAGTCGCAGATACAAGGGGTGGCGAACCGTCCCTGTGTTTTCGGTAGGGACAATTTACGTTTCAAGGTTTTACGTTTGTAATGAAATAATTAAATTTTCCGGTAAACAACTCTACCAACAAGTATATAATAAATAGGATATCCCTTTTGTCTCGTGAGATATTATGTTTCTCTCATCTCGTGACGACCCGTGACGATTCCGGGGTAGAATAGGTCTTCAGCAACCCATACTTGCCGTAAGAGGCGACTAACGGGATCGGGTGGTCAGGCTCGCTGACTTGGTTGATACATGTCATCGATCCCAATTGCGTGGATCGATGCTCATGATATTAATCACTGGATTGTCTGGTCCACACTCGATTATTTACAGACCGCCGTCATATAGCTGGAATATTGCTGAGTGCGGCGTTAAACAACAAATCAACCAACCAAATCATCTCGTGACTTGAGAGATATCTTCTTTTCCTCCGTCACTCCATAAGAGAAACATGATATTTCACTCGACACATGAATTATCCTCTATATATTCGCTTTAAAAAACAGCATATCAACTTATAGGATGACACATAGCTTATCAGCTCTATACGAAACAGATATACAGACGGATAAGTATGAATTATTGATGGGTATATTATCTTGCATCTTGCAAGAAAACAGCTACACGATATACGCCAGTAGTTTATTTTCGCTTAATTGTACTCATACATAACACCTTTGGAAGGGAATGTTTTTTCCCCGACGAAAGAAAGTCATAATTCATAGCCTGTGCTTTTCCTGTGATACACATGACTGATGTAAGTCGGCATAAACAAACAACTGATAAATTTAAAGAGGGAATATATTTATTTTATTATATGTGTAAATGACATTTTTATAGCAGACGAAGATAGTCACTGACTAAATATACTTGACGATTTGGAAACGTATTGCCTGCAAAAATACTTGAAGGATATCGAAAACATATATTACATTTATTTGTTGCAGACAGATAAGTGTGAATTATTGATGAGTATATTATCTTGCATCTGCCTCTGGTGTTCAAACAGAAGAGCAACACAGGATGTGCCAGTGGTTTATTTTCGCTTAATAGTCAAGTTGTGTACAAGTACTCCTATATAACACAATTATCAAGGGCCTTTGGAAGCAAATGGTTTGTCGCCGACTACAGAAATTCATAATTCATAACCTGCGTCTTTCAAGTTGGTTGGTTGGTTTGTTGTTTTACGCCGCACTCAGCAATATTCCAGCTATATGACGGCGGTCTGTAAAAATTCGAGTGTGGACCAGACAATCCAGTGATTAATATCATGAGCATCGATCCGCGCAATTGGGATCGATGACATACATCAACCAAGTCAGCGAGCCTGACGACCCGATCCCGTTAGTCGCCTTTTACGACAAGCATAGTCGCCTTTTACAGAAAACAGGGGTTGCTGAAGACCTATTCTACCCCGGAATCTTCACGGGTCTCGCGTCTTTCAAGTGATGCAAACCGGCAGAGACAAAAAACTGATAAAGTAAGGAGGGAACATATTTAGTTAAGAATAAGTGAAAATGACAAGTTTTGTTGAAAACGAAGAAAGTCACTAACTAAAAATGTTGAGTATTTGGAATCGTTGAATTTAAGGATTCTACTTAGGTTTTCTGAAGGTCAAGTTTGGAGGATATAAAAAGATAATCCAACAAATAATTAATGAAATTTCCCGGTACAGAATGATTGGGTAATTCCTATAGGACCACAGGCCCTTGTGTCGTCGCTTATTTATTTCTAGATGATTTAATATAATGTATGAAACACGAAAGAAAACCTAGTGTCGACCTACTCAGATTGTCAGTCCAGATTTGTTTCTTTGTTTGTTTGCTTGTTGTTTAACGCCGCACTCAGCAATATTCCAGCTATATGACGGCGGTCTGTAAAATAATCGAGCCTGGATCAGACAATCCAGTGATTGACATCATGATCATCGATCTACGCAATTGCGATCAACCAAGTCAGCGAGACTGACCCCCCGATCCCGTTAGTCGCCTTTTACGAAAAGCATTGTCGCCTTTTACGGCAAGCATGGGTTGCTGAAGACCTATTCTACCGCGGAATCTTCACGGGTCCAGTCCGAATTTGAAGAGGTCATTTTACGACGATTATGTTTTGGTCCTTTTAGGTAACCGCACGGACGGGTGAGGATCCTCCAAGGTGTATGTTTGTTGTTTAACGCCGCACTCAGCAATATTCCAGCTATATGACGGCGGTCTGTAAATAATCGAGTCTGGACCAGACAATCCAGTGATTGAAATCATGACCATGGATCCACGCAGTTGAGATAATAAATGCATGCTCAGCAATATTCCAGCTATATGACTGCGGTCTGTAAATAATCGAATCTGGACCACAAAATCCAGTGATTAATATCATGAGCATCGATCCACGCAATTGGGATGTGATGACATGTTTCAACCAAGTCAGCGAGCCTAGGCTGAACACCCGATCCCGTTAGTCGCCTCTTACGACGTAATTGTGATGTAAAGATTGCATTATACACGACTGTTGTCAATTCATGTTTCAATCCAAAATGGATTAAACATATTTATTTTCACAAAAATGTGAAAATGGATTGGCAAAAAAGCGAAGCGCTTATGTCAATACCGCTCCATAACATAAAAGACATGATACAATACATACATCAATGGAGGTTAGATGTTACAAATGAATTGTACACGCCAAGCTAGATGTGTATAAAAATAAATCTATTTGCAGTTTATATTAAACAATTCATTTAATTGAAAATCTGCCAGTTTTTAAAATGAAGTTTTGAATAGAATCTAATGTTTGGGTTTGCTCTTCCTTACTCAAATACGAATTTTCGCGTAGCACTTTTTGTGAAAAAAACACATGTTGGTACAAAATCCTTTCATTTCGAAGAACATATAATTTGTACAGGTCTAAAATATATCTAAAATACTGATCTGCGTTCGCTGCAGCCAAGCCTGAGGCGACTGTGAATAATTTGACATAACCAGTTTCCGTAATATAAATGGGGGCACGGGTGGCCCAGTCGTCTAAGGCGCCGCGATTCGCACTGCAGAGTTGCGTCCCTTGGGCACGCCAGAAACCTATGATTGTGGGTTCGAATCCCATTTCGCCCCGATTATGTTTCTAGGTTTGTCAGCACCATACCCGTGCTCGTGGGTTTCACCGAAGTGGTAAACGTCTGAGACCTGCATCACTTCGGGCTTTCCTCCAACATTAAGCTGACACACTGTGATATAACTGGAATACTGTTAAAAGCGGCGTAAACCCAACTCACTCGCTCGCCATAATATAAATCCCTGTGTATACCATTATCTCCCCTTACATGCCTTACGGTGAAACAAATTCTTAAATTGTGTAACGGTCTCTGCCAAAAAAAACCTCGGCATGCCCTGTGATTCATGTCAACATTAATGGTTAATTGGTATCTGCTCTCTTAACCACTGAGCATGCATTTATTATCCATAGCGAAGGAGAGCTCAATTGATTAAGTATGATCATATCCCGTTTCCTTTTCATTGATGAATTTCACACTAACCAACAACCGGAAGTGTATGTGGCGAGACACTTCCGCTGTAAACAAACCCACGCAACTACTGATAGTAGTGATACACAAACGAGATTGCATCAAACCCCAGACGAGAACTTAGATGATTTAACACGTCATCGTAAACAAGGAATGTGTGTACGAATACGATACGTGTGAAAATGTCGCTGTTAACTCAGTTTTTCGATTCCAGTTTGAGTAAGACGAACACTTTGGTTCTGGAGGTCGTTCTTTTGTCAACATGTCTGCTCGGAGACGGCGGCTTGTCGTTCATCGCCCACAGACTTGGGGATTATCTCTGGGTTCGGGCAGGCATCGACAGTGCTACACATGGGCTGATAGCTTTGTGGTGCTGGGCGTTGGTGGAAAATGTCAACTTCGACCGCTACAAACTTCTCAACTGCCTCCTGTGTGCCGTGCTTGCTGTGGGAGTTGACCTGGATCATTTCTATGCTGCAAAGTCTTTGAATATCAAGGTGAGGGTCGGTTCCCAACTGACTCGGTTACTATCCTGGTGATTGACATTCTACCATGAATTTGGAAATTACTCGATTCTGATTGGTCAATAAGAGGCTAATAATCACAATAAACCCCCTCTGACTGAAACAGCTGTTTTGACGGCCGTATCGACGCATTCATAGAATGGTACTTTGTTAAGTCATTGTCGGTAGGCATATTTAAATAATTATGTCTACAATTATAACTTGCGAAATGCACTGTTGCAGTTACTACAATATTCAAAGGTTGTGTGGCAATACATTTTGTGCAGAAAACACGACAGAAATCAGCAAAAATGCAGTTTATCGGGCACAGCCCGAGCTGTACCATCAATTACCGTGCTATAGTGCTACCGTGGTCTCGCTATACCGTTACCGTGCCTCACGCTCCGGTGACTCTCGCTTCACGATCCAACACCCGTTTTTGGTCTTAGGGAAACTTACACGTCTTTATGATCCAACACCTGTTGTCAGTCTTAGGCAAACTTACACATCTTTACGATCCAACACCTGTTGTCAGTCTTAGGGAAACTTACATTTGGCTACCTCTGAATTTTAGACAGTAGACAAATTGAAATTTAGGTCGCATTGGCGACCATTTTAGTCGCAACTTTGAGGCCTGTAATGGGTTGCTAATGACTCATTAAAAAAACACTGATTACATGTGATAGCGCTCGTGGTCTAGTGGTAGAGCGTCTTCTAATTAACGCATTAAATAGCCAAGCCGGTGAGCCGGGAAGCGCGTTCGGGCCCCCACAGCGCTAATTGGATCTGAAAAAGTGAGCCAGTAAAATGCACTTCTCCCCAGAAATCTACAAAGAGGATGTTCTTAAATTTTGGATACAACAGAGAGTATCAAATTAGGGGCTTTTCTATATACAACTGTGACATCGTATCTTTTACGTCACAATGAGCGATATGACGTCATAATGGTGACGTGAGTTGTAGAACGATGGCCTTGCAAAGCTTGCTTAGTTTTCTTTTGGGGTGCCCATCTCATGTTAGCTTTCCAAGTTGCCGTGCTTATATGCTTTCAATGCCTGTCACTGTTCAAGTGAAGTATTACTAGGTAAACAAACTGCTTGAGTATATACTGCACGTTCGGTTCAAAATTCAATTTAATGTCACTCTTTTTGGGGTAAAGCGGCATAAAACCATACTCACCATCTTGGGGCTCAGCCAGGCTCGCTTCAAATGTTTACCAGGGACACAGGTGGCCCAGTCATGTAAGGCTCAGCAATTTTCTGTACAGAGTTGTGTCCCTTGGGCGCACCCAAAACCTGATATTGTTTGTCCGAATCCCAGTTCCCCTAGGTTTGTCACTCAGCCCCATACCCATGCTTAAGCTTGTTGGTTGCACCAAATGAGGTTACATCTGAGACCTGCATCACTTCAGGCTGACACACCGTGATAAAACTGGAATACTATTCAAAGCAGCATTGGGGCGATCGGGTAGCCTTAGTGGTTAAAGTGTTCGCTTGTCACGCCAAAGACCCGGGTTCGATTCCCAACATGGGTATGTAGCAGCCATAAAATGTCCGAGTCCCGTGATGGAATTCGAACCACGGACCTTCTGATCAGAGGCTGGACGCCATGTCCACATGACCAAAGCGGTTAACCCCATCAGCAAGCTGACAAGTTAAGGATGTCATCTGTCGGATGACTCCAAGCCCTGCTACAGGTCCAATGTTTGAAGCCCGTTTCTGGTGTCCCCTGCTGTGATATTGCTGGAATATTTCTAAAAGCAGCGTAAAACCATACTCACTCACTCAAAGCAGTGTTAAGCCCAGCTCACACAATGTTAAATTGTGTGTAAGCAAAAAGGTTGTTTGTGTCTTAAACATTTTACTAATATTTTAAGAAAAAATAATTGTGGGTAATAATGAGATAAAAAGAAGTTGAGAATCTTTATGATGCATTTTACCCGCACTTTTTTATGCTTTTCAGTTTCAGCATGTTCAGTTTCTTGCACTACATCCAAATAAATACAATGTACTTAGAATTTAAAAAAGCTTACAGGCTAATGATAATGAACATGATAATTGTTTGAGGAAACTCAAGTTAAAAATCAATTTCATCAAAATTAGATCTTAGTTCTCGCTATCACTAGATCTGAGGACATCCCATTACGGGTCACAGCAGAACAGCCTTTCGCGAACTTTGATCGACTAATGGAATGACTGACAATAAGTTGACATAATCAAGTCATTCCAATCAGAAACAAATTTGACAAATTCTCGATTAAAAATTTGAAAATGAACAAAAGTACAATCTGGACTGGATAAAAGATGGCATTAAGCCTGTAACTGTCATTCGGACTACCCCGTGTTAAATTGTTCAAGGTTGCATGATTAAAAACACATTCCGATTTTCATGATCTGATAAGCTACACTCTGAATGGTCCGATGAAAGGTCATTCTGACGTGACCCCGAATGGGATATCCATAGATTTTTGTTTAGCGATAGAGAAAACTAAGATCTGATTTTAATAGTGTAAACATTTAGGCACAAAATAATGGTGAGCACATGTCTTTCAACACCCTAATGACAACAAATTTTCTAATACTATTTTGACAAGTAAACATTTCCTGATATACTCTCTCTGTCTACAGGCAGCACTGAGTCTACCCGACCACCCACCTCTCCATCTGACCACCATCACCCTAGTGTCTGTGTCATGTTATCATACATCCTTATATACTCTCTCTGTCTACAGGCAGCACTAAATCTACCCAACCGCCCACCTCTCCATTTGACCACCATCACCCCAGTGTCTGTGTCATGTTATCATACATCCTTATATACTCTCTCTGTCTACAAGCAGCACGAAGTCTACCCGACCACCCACCTCTCCATCTGACCACCATCACCCCAGTGTCTGTGTCATGTTATCATACATCCTGATATACTCTCTCTGTCTACAGGCAGCACGTTGTCTTCCCGACCGCCCACCTCTCCATCTGACCACCATCACCCCAGTGTCTGTGTCATGTTATCATACATCCTGATATACTCTCTCTGTCTACAGGCAGCACGGAGTCAACCCGACCACCCACCTCTCCATCTGACCACCATAACCCAGTGTCTGTGTCATCTTATACATCCTGATATACTCTCTCTGTCTACAGGCAGCACTGAGTCTTCCCGACCACCCACCTCTCCATCTGACCACCATCACCCCAGTGTCCGTGTCATGGTATTATACATCCTTATATACTCTCTCTGTCTACAGGCAGCACAGAGTCTACCCGACCACCCGCCTCTCCATCTGACCACCATCACCCCAGTGTCTGTGTCATGTTATCATACATCCTTATATACTCTCTCTGTCTACAGGCAGCACTGAGTCTTCCCGACCACCCACCTCTCCATCTGACCACCATCACCCCAGTGTCTGTGTCATGTTATCATACATCCTTATATACTCTCTCTGTCTACAGGCAGCACTGAGTCTTCCCGACCACCCACTTAACCCCAGTGTCTGTGTCATGTTATCATACATCCTGATATACTCTCTCTGTCTACAGGCAGCACGGAGTCTACACGACCACCCACCTCTCCATCTGACCACCATCACCCCAGTGTCTGTGTCATGTTATACATCCTTTTATACTCTCTCTGTCTACAGGCAGCACTGAGTCTACCCAACTGCCCACCTCTCCATCTGACCACCATCACCCCAGTGTCTGTGTCATGTTATCATACATCCTTATATACTCTCTCTGTCTACAGGCAGCACGGAGTCTACCCGACCACCCACCTCTCCATCTGACCACCATCACCCCAGTGTCTGTGTCATGTTATCATACATCCTTATATACTCTCTCTGTCTACAGGCAGCACTGAGTCTACCCGACCACCCACCTCTCCATCTGACCACCATCACCCCAGTGTCTGTGTCATGTTATACATCCTGATATACTCTCTCTGTCTACAGGCAGCACAGAGTCTACCCGACCACCCACCTCTCCATCTGACCACCATCACCCCAGTGTCTGTGTCATGTTATCATACATCCTGATATACTCTCTCTGTCTACAGGCAGCACTGAGTCTTCCCGACCGCCCACCTCTCCATCTGACCACCATCACCCCAGTGTCTGTGTCATGTTATACATCCTGATATACTCTCTCTGTCTACAGGCAGCACTGAGTCTTCCCGACCGCCCACCTCTCCATCTGACCACCATCACCCCAGTGTCTGTGTCATGTTATCATACATACTTATATACTCTCTCTGTCTACAGGCAGCACGGAGTCTACCCGACCACCCACCTCTCCATCTGACCACCATCACCCCAGTGTCTGTGTCATGTTATACATCCTGATATACTCTCTCTGTCTACAGGCAGCACTGAGTCTACCTGACCGCCCACCTCTCCATCTGACCACCATCACCCCAGTGTCTGTGTCATGTTATCATAGATCCTGATATACTCTCTCTGTCTTCAGGCAGCATTGAGTCTACCCGACTGCCCACCTCTCCATCTGACCACCATCACCCCAGTGTCTGTGTCATGTTATCATACATCCTTATATACTCTCGCTGTCTACAGGCAGCACGGAGTCTACCCGACCGCCCACCTCTCCATCTGACCACCATCACCCCAGTGTCTGTGTCATGTTATCATACATCCTGATATACTCTCTCTGTCTACAGGCAGCACGGAGTCTACCCGACCACCCACCTCTCCATCTGACCACCATCACCCCAGTGTCTGTGTCATGTTATCATACATCCTTATATACTCTCTCTGTCTACAGGCAGCACTGAGTCTTCCCGACCACCCACTTAACCCCAGTGTCTGTGTCATGTTATCATACATCCTGATATACTATCTCTGTCTCCAGGCAGCACTGAGTCTACCTGACCACCCACCCCTCCATCTGACCACCATCTCCCCAGGATCTGTGTCATGTTATACATCCTGATATTCCCTTTCTGTCTACAGGCAGCACTGAGTCTTCCCGACCGCCCACCCGTCCATCTGACGACCATCACTCCAGTGTCTGTGTCATGTTATCATACATCCTGATATACTCTCTCTGTCTACAGGCAGCACTGAGTCTACCGGACCGCCCACCTCTCCATCTGACCACCATCACCCCAGTGTCTGTGTCATGTTATCATACATCCTGATATACTCTCTCTGTCTACAGGCAGCACTGAGTCTTCCCGACCGCCCACCTCTCCATCGTACGACCATCACCCCAGTGTCTGTGTCATGTTATCATACATCCTGATATACTCTCTCTGTCTACAGGCAGCACTGAGTCTTCCCGACCACCCACCATCACCCCAGTGTCTGTGTCATGTTATCATACATCCTGATATACTCTCTCTGTCTACAGGCAGCACTGAGTCTTCCCGACCACCCACCATCACCCCAGTGTCTGTGTCATGTTATCATACATCCTAATATACTCTCTCTGTCTATAGGCAGCACTGAGTCTACCCGACCGCCCACCTCTCCATCTGACCACCATCATCCCTGTGGTGACTGCATCATTATGGATTCTAGGGATGGTGCTCAAAGTCCGCTACTTGAAGACGTTGTCTCTCATCTTCCTGACTGCAGTCTTTTCACACCACCTGCGAGATGCCACCAGGAGAGGTCTGTGGTTGGCCCCTTTCTCCAACACTCGTCATGTGCCCTACTGGCTGTATATAGCAGTTACCATGGTGATCCCTGTCCTCATCAGGAAAGTGTACCTCATTGTCTTATCGGAGAAGAAGGTAGTAGACAGCGGCATTGAATCTGTGGCTGTGGTACCAACTATATTCAGTGCCAAGTCTTGATTTGAAATTGTAGTCATGGTTACAGTGATATTGATGGTGTGTGTGTCAAAGAATATCTGTTCCTGTAGTGGACGAGAAATTTCTTTCAACAATATGATTGTTTACACTGGCAATATTTGTTTGGGATTGAACTAATTCCATGTGGAACTGATGATATTTGACATTTTCACAGCCGAAATTGTTGTCATGGTTACATGGATATGGTGATGGTGTTTGGACAGATAAGCCAGTTGTCATGGTTACGGATGTAACAGTAAAGATTTCTGACTGCAGAAGTAAATGTGTTTTACTGCTACAGTGAAGATATCTGCTGAATCAAGGGTGTCTGACTGCTACATTAAGTGTCTGATTGGACAGGGGCATTGAGCAGCTGTTGTAACAAGTATATAACAATGTCATTCAAAGAAAAGGAGTTACAAAATGTGCATCCGGTGAGTTATCACTGCTGGGTTCAAGAGTTCTACCCACTCATGTCCGCATACCAATCAGTGACCTGTTGTTGGTTCAGTTAACAATTTAACTTCCTTAATGCCAGTCAACAGACTAAACATATAAACTGCGTGTTGTTTTTATGAAAACACTGTTTATTGTTTTTACGGAAGTGGTCTCCACTCAAGGCTAATAAGCAGTGGTATTTGTGGTTGATTGGATTAAGGTCAGGATATGTATCATTCCACTGGGGATGGGGGGGTTGCATTGATATTGAGTCTCATTTTTGGCCTTGGGTCAGCAGTCGTAATAATTTGGAGATGCATAAATTTCAAGATTTACGGTGTGGGAAACCAGCTTTTTCTGCATAAACATGGATGTGAAAATGCGAATTAGAGTGAGTGAGTATGGTTTTATGCCGCTTTTGGCAATATTCCAGCAACATCACGGAGGGGGACACCAGAAATGGGCCTCTCATCATGCTCATTGGAAAGACACAATATGGCTGAAGTAGTGTATGTGACTTAAATTTTAACTTATTCATGTGACGAAACACAATTCCAAAATGCACTGACACATGGTTAACCTATGATCGAGGGTGGGGACACGGGTGGCCCAGTCATCTAGGGTGCTGCGATTCGCTGTGCAGAGTTGCGTCCCTTGGGCATGCCAGAAACCTATGATTGTGTGTTCGAATCCCAGTTCGCCACGATTATATTTCTATGTTTGTCAGCACCATACCCATGCTCGTGGGTTTCCCCGAAGTGGTAAACGTCTGAGACCTGTATCACTTCGAGCTTTCCTCCCTCCCTCACTCACTCACTCACTCACTCACTCAGGATTGTCATCTGATGTTACATTGTTATCTCCCTTGCAGTTAACTATAAACCGGCATCAGTCCTGACTAGTACAAGCAGCCACACACACGTGCATGCACGTCGCTATATAAGTGCGATAATCTTGGACGCGACGTTAAACCCCATTTCACCTTGCAGTTAAACGTTGTACAAAGTCGAATGCATGTTATTTATTGTGAATGAGTGAGACTTGTTTTCCATGTCTTTCAACTGTCTACATATTCTACTATATCACAGCTGGAGTCCATTTGACTTCTTTTGACTATATTTATGTGCTATATACATATGGAACATTACTTTTGTTTTGGAACAAGCTATTGTTTAATTATAACATGAATAAATTATTGATAAAGTCTACAGTTTGTTTTGTGCTGAAATATTATGTTTGTGTGTTGTTTAACGCCGCACTCAGCAATATTCCAGCTATATAATGATGGTCTGTGAATAATCAAGTCTGGACCAGACAATCCAGTGATTGACATCATGAGCATTGATCCACGCAACTGGGATATGATGACATGTATCAACCAAGCCAGCGATCCTGTTAGTCGCCTCTTACGACAAGCATAGTCGCCTTTTAAGGCAAGCATGGGTTGCTGAAGACCAGTTCTACCCCGGATCTTCACGGGTCCCATGAAATATTATGAGGATGAGGACATGTAAAGGCAGTTAAACAGTTTAGTGATACAGGCAGGTTTGTTTGTTGTTCAACACCGCACCCTGAATATTCCACACATATGACAGCGGCCTCTTAATAATCAAGTGGACCAGACAATCCAGTGATTGATATGACAAACTCCTATCTACACAGATGGGAAACAATGACATGAATGAACCAAGTCTACAGGTTCTACTACACCAAATCAGAACCAGTTAGGACAGTGCGGTTTTCGTAGGGAGCCTTCAGTGCAGATCGAGAGATATCTGCAGGCTGTGATTGGAGGATATTCTGTAAGATTTTTATGTCTTTCAAATGTACATCCATCCAGTTATTAAAAATGACCATGTTTTTCTATATTTAGTACTGTCTTTTTCAACATGATGACTTATGCTGAATGTGACCACAGCTATTTTCAAGTAGGTGACATTTGGTGCGAAACTGGGGGTGGTGTGTAGCTTCCTGTACTCCGAAAAGGAGCTGGCTAAGCTAGTCATTTTTTTAATTTTTATTGCTGCTCTAAGGCCGAACTGTGCACACACGTACAGGTAATAGCTGTTGAATGCTTAGTTATTTAAAAAAAAATATAACGTTACTATAGAAGTCTATCGGAAAACATTTGGTTGTGTGTAACCTGTAAGACCGCCTAACCCATGCCTCTTCAACATGCATGTGTAGCTTAAGACTAATAATAACCAGGATCTTCACTCGGTTGGTTGGTTGGTTTGTTGTTTAACGCCGCACTCAGCAATATTCCAGCTATATGACGGCGGTCTGTAAATAATCGAGTCTGGACCAGACAATCCAGTGATTGATATCATGAGCATCGATCCATGCAATTGGGATCGATGACATGCATCAACCAAGTCAGCGAGCCTGACCACCCGACCCCGTTAGTCACCTTTTACAAGTTTGGGCTGCTGATGTCCAATTCTATCCTGGCTCTTCACTGGATTGTTGGAAGTTGATTTTTAGATGTTGAAATGTTTTGGGTTATGTGAAGAAGTTTCACAGTAAGGTGTTTTAGAGTGTTGCAATACAATCTTATAGTAATGATTTAAATATGTGTATCTTGTATGTGAGATCTGTACTAAAAATGTGGGTAGTGCCCTTCCTTGCAATTTCCTTTTCTGCAAGGAGTCAAGATCAATCAACAGGGTTATGGTGAGTGACTGAGTATTCCAGTGTCAGCGTGTAATGTGGGAGGAAAGCCCGAAGTGATGCAGGTCTCAGACGTTTACAGCTTCGGTGAAACCCATGAGTACGGGTATGGTGCTGACAAACCCAGAAACATAATCGGGGCGAATCGGGATTCGAACCCACAATCGTAGGTTTCTGGCGTGCCCAAGGGACACACCTCTGCACAGCGAATCGCGGCGCCTTAGATGACTGGGCCACCTGTGCCCTGGGTTATGAAGAAGATGCAGTACACTTGCTATAGTATCCCTGACCTTAAAAAGTCCCCTTAGGCTAATGTTATTGGTTGAACAACCCTGACACTATGATATCCTGCAAATCTTCAGGTATGACATTGTTTTTGTGAAGAAATAGTTAAACAATCAGCTTCAATAAAGACCACCACTGAACAGAAATTGAAGTCTGTGTTGATATTCAAATGAAGCAACACTAGGACAGTCATGTTGCCAGAATCCTAAATAGCACAGTCTTGGTGCTATAATGACAGCCACATGTTTGGATGGTTTGTTGTTTAACGCCGCACTCAGCAATATTCCAGCTATATGATGGCGGTCTGTAAATAAACTTTCTCTTTTTGTGTTGATATGATTTCTATTTTCGCACATGATATGATTTCATTTTTATCTTTGGCTGCTCTGTTTATATTTGTTCGAGTAGCTGTCTGTCCCTCATAAATTGATATAGTTCTGCATCGCTATTGCATCTCTTGACTACAGGAGATCTACAACGTATAGCGGATCTAACTGCAATTCTTGTTTTAACCAAGCCCTGGTTTGACTTTCCAGTAACTGGATTCAGGTTGATTGCAAGATAGGCATACCTCGTCATAGTGATTGTTGTGAATTCCTCAAAGTTTTGTTTGTTTGTTAGTTGTTTAACGCCGCACTCAGCAATATTCCAGCTATATGACGGCGGTCTATAAATAATGGAGTCTGGACCAGACAATCCAGTGATGTATCGATCCAAGGCAATTGGGATCGATGACATGCATCAACCAAGTCAGCGAGCCTGACCACCCGATCCCGTTCGTCGCTTCTTACGACAAGCATAATCACCTTTTACAGCAAGCATGGGTTGCTGAAGACCTATTCTACCCCGGGTCTTCACGGGTCTAAAGATTATGGAAGTCAATAGGGTAGCATAGTGGCTAAGATGGCTTCACGGGTCTTATCCCAAAAGGAGTCTGGGTTTGAAGAGATAGTAGGAAATAGCTGTCCTATGGGGATTATGGATTAGCATTGGTCTCCCGTAGGTAGTTGGGCAGTCAGTTGTTTGCCTTGTACCGACTTAGACACAGGCCACCGTCAGTGCGCGTTCAACAGTACAATGCCTGTCAATGTCCCATACTCCTTGACTCTTGAGGGCTATTTACAGATGTACCAAGTTCGCCAGCTTTGACCTCATTGATTACAATTTCCAAAATTACAGAAATATATTTTCATCAGTACATACGTTTTGTTTGGTTGTTGTTTAACGCTGCGCTCAATATTTAACATAATTACGATACTCTCAGCGCTAAGATCGTTTTGTGGAACGGGAACTGGATTTATCTGACACAGTAACACAGAAATTGGTAAGAGGCGACTAACGGGATCGGGTGATCAGGCTCGCTGACTTGGTTTGTGCATGTCATCGTATCCTAATTACGTTGGCGGAGCTCATGATTTCAATCACTGGATTCTCTGGTCAAGATTCAATCATTTACAGAATGCCGTCATATAGCCGGAAAAATGCTAAGTGCGGCGTTAAACAACAAACAGACAAATATCGGGTAGTCCACACAACGTGTCAGAATCGCCGACACATTGTGTGACATTTATAGTGCACGAGAAATAAACAAGCCCTGTCTTGGATAGTATATATAGCATTTGTTTTAAAGATTTCGCAAATTGTGTCAAAAGGTTATCTTTTGAAACGACTAACATCTGAGTCACACTGTTGGTTCCACTGCGCATCGCATGTTCAACAAATGTTGTTTTCCCAACCAACAGAGCTATAAATTGCGTGCCATCTCACAGAGAATCTAAGGTAGGTTTTAAACATGTAAGTATAATGTTAGAAGATCATGTTTAAATGCTGCTCTCACCAATAGTGACATAGACATTGAATGTACATAGGACATAATATTCGATCATGGTTTCCAAACTTCAAACAATTTTCTACGTTTTTATTTACTGTTTATGTTTTCAAATTGTAACTAAATAGCCATTCATTACCCTGTCTTTATGCGAGTCCACTACAAAAGGCATTACTTAGAAGTTGACGGCGGTCTAGAGGTAGAGCGTCCGCCCGGAGAGCGAAAGGTCCGGGTTCTATCCCCGGCCGCGTCAGACCAAAAGACGTTAAAAGATGGTACTTGTTGTTACCCTGTCTGGCGCTCGGCATTAAGGGGCTAAAACAAGGACTGGTCGGCTCGGAGTCAGTATACTGTGTCTGAGTGGGGTATTCATGTTAAACTTCGGCATGGTATCTCAGTGAGCTAGCACTATAAATCGGCATCAGTCCGGACTAGTACAAGCAGCCACACACACACACACACACACACACACACACGTGCATGCATGTCGCTATATAAGTGCAATAACGCGACGTTAAACCCAATTTCACCTCACCTAGAAGTTGACGGATGACAAGGTAGACACAACTTTATGGATAACAACTTCTTTAATACTGTAAAAAGCGACTGTAAAAAGCGATGTTAATCCTCTACTGTTAATCCTCAACCTACTATATATATTCTGTACAAAGTCTCTCATTCAGTCTTGCTTGACAACGGTATAAGGATCTATACCGAAACGTCGCCTTTGCAGAATTAAAGAAGTTGTTAGCCATAAATTGTGTCTACTTTGTAATATATGTGCAATTGCTTCAAAGACGTCAAAGATGGATCTGATGTCGTTTCACGAACACTAACGTCACGGGCAAGGGAAGAAGTAAATTAAGTCGCATTAAAACAGCGTCCTTTGTGGGTTCCGGATATCCAGAAAAAACTATGCTGGTCGTAAAAGGTTATCAAATGGATCGATGGTCAGTCACGGTGAGGTCCGTGAAGATCCGGGTTGGAATAGGTCTTCAGCAACCTATGCTTGCATTAAAAGGCAACTAGGCTTGTCGAACGAAGCGACAAACGAGACCGGGTGGTCAGGCTCGCTGACTTGGTTGATGCATGTCATCGTATCCCAGTTGCGTGGATCGATGATCATGAGGTCAATCTCTGGATTGTCTGGTCCAGACTCGATTATTTACAGACCGCCGTCATATAGCTGGAATATTTCTGAGTGCGGCGTTAAGCACTAGCAGCAGTAGCCGCAGCAGCAACAACAACAACAACAACGACAACAACAACAACAGCAACGACAGTGACTTGTTTGATAGCGTGTCAACGTACCCCAACGGCGTGGATCTATCCTGATAATATCAATCACTAAATTGTCTGGTCCAGATTCGATTATTTACAGACCGCCGCCGTATTGATGGAATATTGCTGCGTTAAACATCAAACAAACAAACTAATCTTTAGATAATATTTTGTGATAGTGTTTCGAAGTTTGTAACATATTTTACAGCCTCTTCACGATGAAGGCTGCAGCTATCTTCACACTGTTTCTGCTTGTGTCGTCTGTCCATGGAAACGGCTTCACGGATTTCTTTAAGAACGTTGGTAACAAGCTCGGGTCGTTCTTCACCACTGTCGGCCACAGCCTGCTTCACCAACTGGACACCACAGGGGTGGACCTGCTCAACGCGGGAGTATCGGCTGGCAAGCAGTTGGTATCGCAAGGCCTTCAGGGTGAGATCTCCACGACAGATCTACCACTCCACGACAGAACTCCCACTCCACTACAGGCTTTCACTCCACTACATAACTACCACTCCACTACAGGCTTTCACTCCACTACATAACTACCACTCCACTACATAACTATCACTCCACTACAGAACTACCACTCCACAACAGAACTATCACTCCACTACAGAACTACCACTCCACAACAGAACTACCACTCCACTACAGAACTACAACGCCTCTACACAACTACCACTCCACGACAGAACTACCACTCCACGACAGAACTACTTCTCCACTACAGAACTACCACTCCACTACAGAACTTTCACTCCACTACAGAACTACCACTCCACTAAAGAACTACCACTCCACTAAAGAACTACCACTCCACTAAAGAACTACCACTCCACTACACAACTACCACTCCACGACAGAACTACCACTCCACGAAAGAACTACCACTCCACGAAAGAACTACCACTCCACTACAGAACTTTCACTCCGCTACAGAACTACCACTCCACAACAGAACTACCACTCCACTACATAACTATCACTCCACGACAGAACTATCACTCCACTACATAACTATCACTCCACGACAGAACTATCACTCCACTACAGAACTACCACTCCACTACAGAACTACCACTCCACGACAGAATTACCACTCAACTAAAGAACTATCACTCCACTACAGAACTACCACTCCACTACACAACTACCACTCCAAGACAGAACTACCACTCGACGAAAGAACTACCACTCCACTACAGAACTTTCACTCCACTACAGAACTACCACTCCACAACAGAACTACCACTCCACTACATAACTATCACTCCACGACAGAACTACCACTCCACGAAAGAACTACCACTCCACGACAGAACTACCACTCCACTACATATCTACCACTCCACTAAAGAACTACCACTCCACGAAAGAACTACCACTCCACGAAAGAACTACCACTCCACGACAGAACTACCACTCCACTACAGAACTACCACTCCACTAAAGAACTTTCACTCCACTACAGAACTACCACTCCACTAAAGAACTACCACTCCACTAAAGAACTACCACTCCACTACAGAACTACCACTCCACTACACAACTACCACTCCACGACAGAACTACCACTCCACGAAAGAACTACCACTCCACGAAAGAACTACCACTCCACGACAGAACTATCACTCCACTACACAACTACCACTCCACTACACAACTACCACTCCACGACAGAATTACCACTCCACTACAGAACTACCACTCCACTAAAGAACTACCACTCCACTACAGAACTACCACTCCACTACACAACTACCACTCCACGACAGAACTACCACTCCACGAAAGAACTACCACTCCACGAAAGAACTACCACTCCACTACAGAACTTTCACTCCACTACAGAACTACCACTCCACTAAAGAACTACCACTCCACTAAAGAACTACCACTCCACTAAAGAACTACCACTCCACTACACAACTACCACTCCACTACACAACTACCACTCCACGACAGAACTACCACTCCACGAAAGAACTACCACTCCACGAAAGAACTACCACTCCACTACAGAACTTTCACTCCGCTACAGAACTACCACTCCACAACAGAACTACCACTCCACTACATAACTATCACTCCACGACAGAACTATCACTCCACTACATAACTATCACTCCACGACAGAACTATCACTCCACTACAGAACTACCACTCCACTACAGAACTACCACTCCACGACAGAATTACCACTCAACTAAAGAACTATCACTCCACTACAGAACTACCACTCCACTACACAACTACCACTCCAAGACAGAACTACCACTCCACGAAAGAACTACCACTCCACGAAAGAACTACCACTCCACTACAGAACTTTCACTCCACTACATAACTACCACTCCACAACAGAACTACCACTCCACTACATAACTATCACTCCACGACAGAACTACCACTCCACGAAAGAACTACCACTCCACGACAGAACTACCACTCCACTACATATCTACCACTCCACGAAAGAACTACCACTCCACGAAAGAACTACCACTCCACGAAAGAACTACCACTCCACGACAGAACTACCACTCCACTACAGAACTACCACTCCACTAAAGAACTTTCACTCCACTACAGAACTACCACTCCACTAAAGAACTACCACTCCACTACAGAACTACCACTCCACTACACAACTACCACTCCACGACAGAACTACCACTCCACTACATTAACTATCACTGCACGACAGAACTATCACTCCACTACACAACTACCACTCCACTACACAACTACCACTCCACGACAGAATTACCACTCCACTACAGAACTACCACTCCACTAAAGAACTACCACTCCACTACAGAACTACCACTCCACTACACAACTACCACTCCACGACAGAACTACCACTCCACGAAAGAACTACCACTTCACGAAAGAACTACCACTCCACTACAGAACTTTCACTCCGCTACAGAACTACCACTCCACAACAGAACTACCACTCCACTACATAACTATCACTCCACGACAGAACTATCACTCCACTACATAACTATCACTCCACGACAGAACTATCACTCCACTACAGAACTACCACTCCACTACAGAACTACCACTCCACGACAGAATTACCACTCAACTAAAGAACTATCACTCCACTACAGAACTACCACTCCACTACACAACTACCACTCCAAGACAGAACTACCACTCCACGAAAGAACTACCACTCCACGAAAGAACTACCACTCCACTACAGAACTTTCACTCCACTACAGAACTACCACTCCACAACAGAACTACCACTCCACTACATAACTATCACTCCACGACAGAACTACCACTCCACGAAAGAACTACCACTCCACGACAGAACTACCACTCCACTACATATCTACCACTCCACGAAAGAACTACCACTCCACGAAAGAACTACCACTCCACGAAAGAACTACCACTCCACGACAGAACTACCACTCCACTACAGAACTACCACTCCACTAAAGAACTTTCACTCCACTACAGAACTACCACTCCACTAAAGAACTACCACTCCACTAAAGAACTACCACTCCACTACAGAACTACCACTCCACTACACAACTACCACTCCACGACCGAACTACCACTCCACTACATTAACTATCACTGCACGACAGAACTATCACTCCACTACACAACTACCACTCCACTACACAACTACCACTCCACGACAGAATTACCACTCCACTACAGAACTACCACTCCACTAAAGAACTACCACTCCACTACAGAACTACCACTCCACGAAAGAACTACCACTCCACGAAAGAACTACCACTCCACTACAGAACTTTCACTCCGCTACAGAACTACCACTCCACAACAGAACTACCACTCCACTACATAACTATCACTCCACGACAGAACTATCACTCCACTACATAACTATCACTCCACGACAGAACTATCACTCCACTACAGAACTACCACTCCACTACAGAACTACCACTCCACGACAGAATTACCACTCAACTAAAGAACTATCACTCCACTACAGAACTACCACTCCACTACACAACTACCACTCCAAGACAGAACTACCACTCCACGAAAGAACTACCACTCCACGAAAGAACTACCACTCCACTACAGAACTTTCACTCCACTACAGAACTACCACTCCACAACAGAACTACCACTCCACTACATAACTATCACTCCACGACAGAACTACCACTCCACGAAAGAACTACCACTCCACAACAGAACTACCACTCCACGAAAGAACTACCACTCCACGAAAGAACTACCACTCCATGAAAGAACTACCACTCCACGACAGAACTATCACTCCACTACAGAACTACCACTCCACAACAGAACTACCACTCCACTACATAACTATCACTCCACGACAGAACTACCACTCCACTACACAACTACCACTCCACAACAGAACTACCACTCCACTACATAACTACCACTCCACGAAAGAACAACCACTCCACGAAAGAACTACCACTCCACGACAGAACTATCACTCCCCTACATAACTATCACTCCACGACAGAACTACCACTCCACTACACAGCTACCATTCCACGATAGAACTACCACTCCACGACAGAATTACCACTCCACTAAAGAATTACCACTCCACTACAGAACTACCACTCCACTACACAACTACCACTCCACGACAGAACTACCTCTCCACTACAGAACTACCACTCCACTACAGAACTACCTCTCCACTACAGAACTACCACTCCACTACAGAACTTTCACTCCACTACAGAACTACCACTCCACTACACAACTACCACTCCACGACAGAACTACCACTCCACGACAGAACTACCTCTCCACTAAAGAACTACCACTCCACTAAAGAACTACCACTCCACTACAGAACTACCACTCCACTACACAACTACCACTCCACGACAGAACTACCACTCAACGAAAGAACTACCACTCCACTACAGAACTACCACTCCACTACAGAACTTTCACTCCGCTACAGAACTACCACTCCACAACAGAAGTACCACTCCACTACATAACTATCACTCCACGACAGAACTATCACTCCACTACACAACTACCACTCCACTACACAACTACCACTCCACGACAGAATTACCACTCCACTAAAGAACTACCACTCCACGAAAGAACTACCACTCCACTACAGAACTACCACTCCACTACACAACTACCACTCCACGACAGAACTACCACTTCACGAAAGAACTACTACTCCACGAAAGAACTACCACTCCACTACAGAACTTTCACTCCACTACAGAACTACCACTCCACAACAGAACTACCACTCCACTACATAACTATCACTCCACGACAGAACTATCACTCCACTACACAACTACCACTCCACTACAGAACTACCACTCTTCGACAGAATTACCACTCCACTAAAGAACTACCACTCCACTACAGAACTACCACTCCACTACACAACT